TACATTGTATAATTTCGATTGTAAGTAACAATAATTTAATTAATCATACATATCTATTATATGCAATATTGAAATCATTATCATTTCTATAATAATATTATTATCTATAATTCCATTAGAGGAAATCAACCATTAAGGACTTAGGTTATGAATCATTAATAAAAAATAGTTCAAACAAAAGAACTTTTATTAATAAAAAATTTTTGGAACCAAGCAAAGAACATATTTTAAATCACAATGATAAATTTTAGTCAAGACTTGAGAGGGCTTTATTGGTAAGTAGTATAAATCAATTAATTTACATATATGTTTATGTTTTGTATATTTGATTAATATTTTATTTATTCAATTATATTTATATAGAAATGCAATTTTTTGAAGATGTCAAAATTGAACTTGAAAATCAATTTAGAGAAGTAAAGGATTGTAATAACAATGACAATAATGCTGGTAATGATAATAATAATAATGTTATGATTAAAACAAGACAATTCAATAACAACAACAACAACAACAAAATTAATACTTTTGAAACAGCCACCACCAGTTACAAGAAAAGTTGTTATGATCCATCCTGGCCTACAAAGGCACAATGCTGAGATTGCTAAAATGGAAGCTAAAGCAATCCCATATGTTGTATTTTCAAATGAAAAGGTTGTTTTATCAGAAGCCAATTTGAGAATTAACCATCTATCTGTTGCAAGTGTATAATGTATACTTAAAATTGTAAGTAACAATAGCTTAATTAATCATTCATATTTATTATATGCACATATTGAAATCATTATAATTTCTATAATAATATTATTATCATTTGTCATCCATTAGAGAAAAACAGACAACATGCATTATGTCAAGGAATTAGATTTTGAAACAGTTATAAAAAATGGCCAGAACAGGAAAACTTTTGTTAATAGTAAACAACAGTTGGATTGGGATGAGGAATTGGTTTTAAATAATAATGATAAAATTTACATCAAGGTTGAAGAGGACATTTTTGGTAAGTAGTATAAATCAATTAATTTATGTATATATTTATATTTATATATTTGGGTTAATATTTTATTTATTCAATTATGTTTATATAGAGGTACAATTTTTTTGAAGATGCCAAAACTAATCCTCACAATCGATTTTTAGAAGAAAAGAATCATTTACCTGCTCAATCAGGAGAAAGATATCATGTTATAAATAATGAAGATGGTAGTAATAATGATAATAAAATTGGCAAATCATGCATTGTTAAAAAAGTCAGATCAAATAACTGTAGTGACAAAAACATTTATGCTGCTAAAATTATCCATGTCAATGATGGAAATATGACAAAACCAGAATAATTGAATATAGAAATGAAATTGATATTTTGAAAATATTGGACCATGAGAATATTATAAATGTAATTGATGATTATTTTGATGAGGAGAATGTAGTGGAGGAAGTCTTGAGGACTATATTAAAACATTAAATGGTTTTATAAATTTCCAACATTGGAAAAATTTGACTTTCCAAATTTGTTCAGCTATAAAGACAAGAACATTTTTATTATAGTTTTATTAATATTGTATTCAAATATTATATTTAAACATTTTAAACATTACCATAGTTGTATATATTTTATACTAGATATAGTAACATTTTAATTTTTTTTATTCCCTCTAGTACATTCATGAGAATCACATAATGCATTGAGACATCAAACCTGACAACATCATGTTTACAGATTCTAATTTTAATCAAGTTAAGTTGATTGATTTTGGTGAGTCAAAAAAAATAGAAGGATCTATTGACAGCATGGGCAATTATATTGAACAGACCAACACAGATTTAGTTGGGACACCTTTATTTGTTGTGCCTGAACTTGCCAAGGCATTCAAAGATAGGATTGTGATGTTTACAACAGATAATGATGGTGATGGTGATACTTCTCAATATGAATATGACAAATCTATTGATATCTGGTCATTTGGGATAGTAAATTACTATATGCTGTCAAAAAAATATCCTTGGAATGTTAATAATCATGTTAAAGGAGTGGAAGGAAGATCAAAGGATTGTACTGAGCTTTATGACAATATAATGAAAGGTGACCTAGGGTTTTCCACATTTAAAACAACTAGAAGTGATATTAATGAAATTGAAACTGTTGTAGATTTTATTCTTAAATTGTGTCAGGTATATAAAGATCAAAGGATGTCATCCTGAACAAGTGTTGCAACATACAATATTTAATTAATTTAAATTTTCAATCATAATGGTAAAAATGTTATTTGCTTATTGAAAAAGTCTGGTGATTTTTATAAATTCAATTTAAATAATAATTAAATATTTTACTCTAATATTTAATTAAATTTCTGTATAATAATAATGGGTTCATATCACATATTACTTGCCTAAAAGTTTTAAAAAATTTATGATAAATAAACTTATGATAATTAAAATTTATGATAAATAAAATTTATGATGATAAACTTGATAAAAAAACTTAACAGTAAAAAAACATGATTTTCTTTTCAAATTAAATTTGGCCGAAATATCCTAATTCCGAATCAAATCTTTTATTTCTATTTTACTTTATTTTACTTTATTTTATATCTACATTTATTTATTTCATTTCTTATTTTATTTTTATTCATATTTATTTACATTTTTATTATTTTGTTAAAATGATTCAAGAAAAAGTAAGTTAAGCTATCTATTCTTTTATGAAGATTTCTAAATTTTAATTATAGATGAATGAATAAAATTGAATTATTGACCAAGGTATTCAACATAGATATAATGCAGATATTGAATTGGATCCAATAAAATTTTGCCAATTAATCAAGGAGAGTGAACCAAAATTAGAAGGATTTTTTGATGAAATGTTAAATATAATTCCTGATAATCACACATTTTCAAATAGAGAATCTGCTGAAAAAGCAATAGTTGGTTATTGTTATCTTTTAGCAGGTTTAAGGAATAAATTTGTAAATACCTTCAAATTGGACCTTGGTCTTTATTTAGCAGAAAATGGTACAAGTGCTGCTGCAATTGAGACATTATCAAATGCAGATATATCTGCATCATATAAAACCATTGAAAATTATAAAAAAAAAAAATAAAAGCAAACCACCCTAAAGAAATTGAAAACTATTTTGCCAATAATGTAAGTTAATTAAATGTTTAATTTTATTTAATTTTATTTAATAATTATCAAATTAAATTCACGTTTTATAATTTAGTGTGCACTCAATGGACAAAAGTTTGTACCCAAAAATTATTTAGAGATTTTCTCAAAATTATATTAAATAAATATTTGTGTTCTTTACATCATTTCAAAGTTCTGGTCCTTGAGAAAGTTTTTTATTAATAACAAATTTTTATCTTGCGAAATTTTTATTATGAAAAAATTAAAAAAAAAATTGACTTTAAAATTATAAAATGGATGATCAATTTTAAATTTTATGTCCATTGAGTAAGTAAACGTTGATTTCCCAAACCTATAATTGGTGTTTCTGATGATGATAAAAAATTTTCGATTAATCAATAAAAAAAAGCAAACCAGTTATAATATTTTATTATTATTTTTATAATAATTACCATTTTCCGATTTTTCACGCTCTTGTTCTTTTGCTGATCTTTCAGCATTTGCCTTTTCTAATGAATCAACCTAAAATAATGGCAAATTATATATTTAATTTTATTTTCAAACATCTGCTAAAATATCTTTATGTATCTATATTATTAATTATTTTACCTTAAGAGAGAATTCGCGTAAAACTTGGATCAAATATGGCATAGCAAAGTCATTAAGACCATGTCTCCATGCTAACTCCAATACAATATCTGGTCTAACAAAATCATAACAAACAAATAAACAAGAAGTGAAACATTCTTTGTTTCCTATTTGCACAAAGTATTCTAAAAGTTCTTCTGCTACTTCAGTTGAACGTGATTCACTGGCTGTTTCAATCGCATCTTTGAAAAGTCTATCCTCTTTAGACAACGCAATTGATTGTGACCAACGTTTATTCTTTTTGTAGAGATGTGCTGCAATTCTACGGAATTCAAGAAGACTATGTTTTTCAAGTCGTTGTGCTAATTTGATATTATCAAAATTGTCAAAACTATCAATTGAATCTCTCAATGCATTATAATCTTCCTCTTCAATCAATATATCATTATATGCATCATTAACTGATTCATTGTTTGCCTTGAATGGATGGCAAAAAGGTAAAGAAATAAGTGCCAATTAATATTCTAAATAATATTATTATCTTTATTAATGAATAAATATGGTATATACATACTTCTTGTACTGATATTAAGTATGATCTTATCAATGGAATGTTGTCAGATTTTTGGAACATTTGGACAACTCTTGTATGATCAATTCTTGGAGTTAATGCACTAAGAAGATCATTAAGTAAAAGAGGATGCTCATCAAGATAGAATTTCAAAGCCTATGAAAAATGAAAATAAAAGGTTGATGATAAATTAAAAGAATGTTTTTAATATATATACATATGTATATAAACATGTAATTTAAATAAATTGAGATTAATACCTTATAGTAAATTTCAATATTGCTAACTTTAACAATTATGTCTTTGAAGCGTGAATGTTCCCAAGCATCAGCTGCATGTTGAATCATTGCAAGAGAAGCATTATCAAATTCATCATAATGTTCGTATAAGAAAACCAATTCACTCCATAGATGAGCTTCATCACAAGCTCTAATTACTTTAGGAATATTAAGTCGTGACCAGAAGATTCGTAAATGCTCATATGTTTTCTCAGGCCGATATTTAGTATACAAAATGCCCAATTCAGTAAACATTCCCATGTGTGCTCTTTCAAGACCAGATCCTGCTTCTAAAAGTGATAATAATTCATCTATATAACCATTATTCTCATATAATCTAGTCACACTCTAAATAGCAACAATATTATTACTATTGTTTATTTTTTTTTTATTAAATAAAAGTTATATAATATAACTTACTTGTAATTCTTCTGCATGAACAACGAGATTAAGACCACAAATATGTGCCAAACGGAATTCTTTATGTTGAACACAAGCACCATGTACATCTTTCCAAACCCTATTTAATTAATTAATAATATTATACATAAATCAACCAATAATCAATCTAAATCAAGCAAATTTAAATTATAAAAACAAATAAATAAATAATTACTTTGTATTACTGGCTTTTCTAGCACCGTCTACAGCTGCTTGATATTCACCCAAATGAACAAGTGTAGATGCTAATCTTGCCCAATTTGAAATACTTTGGAATAGGATTTTGGCTGATTCATAGAGACCATCTTCATAGCAACGTTCACCAACAATTTGAATTTGTGCAACATTTGGTGTGTTCAAAAATTCTTCGAGATCATGGAATTTTTCAGTTTTCGCATATGCAAAAAGAAGTTCATTATCAACTATAGGTTCACGTAATTTCTTACGGCACATTTGCAAATATCTTACAAGATCTTCATGTTTTTCAGCACGTGATGCTATATTGATAACTTCTGAAAAGTTACTAGGGTCGTCAGCACGAATATAAGAATCTGGAAAATAAAATTTTTTTTTAAAGGGACGTGTTAGTATTAAATAAAAAAAATAATAATAAATAAAAATTTTTTTTTGAAATAAAACAAACCAATTGAATCTTTAATTCTTAATCCAGTAATTTGTGCTTTAGCCAATCTACTCCAAACTTCGGGAGTGTCACATTTTTCAGCAAATTCAGCTGCGCGGTCAAGACTAGCAATATGTTCAACCAACACACTTATAGCATTTGCGTGATCATTATGTTTTTTGTAGATGGCGAACGCTTCTTCATATAAATTGGTTTTTATAGCGATATCTGCAACTTCGGGTGCATCAAAGTTGTTGAGTTTATTAACAAAATCCATCACTTTAGCTTTATCGGCCTTTATATCAAATAAAAAAATATAAAGATGTGTGTGTTAATATAGATATTTATAGACAAAGCATTTATGGAATAATGATTAATTACCCTAATAGCTGTAAGAATGAGTAAATTTTGAAGAGTTTTTTGGTCACTAAATGCAGTATTTTCAAAAATAAGTTTTTCTAATAATCCAATAAGCTCCAATGGTAAATCTGCTGCCATAAAAGCCTTCACTGTGACAGAAACATCTTCTGGATCGGTAGTTTCTGGTAAAGCTACAGCATTGACCTTTTTTCCAAAAAAAAAGGACCATATATATATATATATTATTAATTAATAAAAGGATTATATTTTTTTCAAATAAATATTAAAATCATATTATAATATCTACACTATACCTGTTCAATTAAAGTCCTACGATGCATATTATTACTATTTAATACATGTGCCCAAAGCTGAGGATCGCGACGCTTTACCAAATAACGAGCTTGATGTTTAAACATAGTATTATCATTGGTTATCTTAACAAGTTCCAAATCACACTGTCCACGTTGATAAGCAATAAAAGCAAGATGGGGATCACGTTTTTCACAATATTTTCCAACAACCATCGAATCATAATACTATTAAAAAGATAAATATATATTGTTATCATTGATATTAACAATCATATTTGTAATTAAAAATTAGTCTAAACAATGATATTTGATAAAAACGAAATCTAAATATACATACTGGATTGTCTCTAAGGAAACTTTCTGGGTCAGTGTTGCTATCAATACGAATTTTAGCCACAGCATTATAAAGTTCAGGGTCTTGACTTCCTTCTTGGACACGTAATTCCAACCACGGTAACAACAATTTAAGACGATTTCTTTTTTCAACTTCTTGAACGAGTTGATCAATAGGAACGGTTCCAGTTACTGATAGCAATAAATTTTTAATGATATTTTCATCACAATCAACATCCAACAAACCACCAATAACAGCTGGAGTACGTGCTGAATTAACTTTCTGAACATACACTTCAATGTATTTTGTTAAATTTTGTTGATATAAATATAAAACTAAATCATGTACATAGTCAAATCGATCACAGACAATAATCAATGGAAGTTGATCTTGAAGTTTAGCTTCCTAGATAAAGTTCATGGGTAAATATATACGTGAGTGAGTAATGTATATATATTAGAAAAAAGCATTCCAAGGTAATTTTTTTTAAAACAAAAGAACCTACTTTTAAAAAGTTTTTGACTTTTTCAGGGTCATAATATTGACTTTCACGACATATTCTTTCAACTTCTTTAACCTGTCCTGTTTTAACAGCTGCCTGAATATATTTGAAATGTACGTCAGGATCAGTACTAAGGTTAACAATTGAACCAAGATAATAATAAAGGCCTAATAATAATAATGTGTGAATGTTAATTACAGACATGGAAAAGAAATAAAATGAGACCATTATTTTTTTTGTTTGCAAATAAATACCTTCGTGAGTTTTAAAAGACTCAAACAATTGAATCAAATTTAACGGTTGTAATTGTTCTGAATATTTTGTAGCAATTTGTATTACTACTTGTAAATTCTGTCTAATATTGGCTTTGAGCATTTCTTTTAAACATTCAAGTGAATTTTCAACTGAAAGATTTCCAAAATAACTGACAACAAACTAAGTAAAGTCAACAAAAATTAAATCATAAATTAATAAAGAGCCAAAAATAGAGGTACAAGTAATCAAGAAATGAACTTACATCAGAGGGTAAAGTATGAGCATGTATAATTATACGTTTAATATCATTGATATCATCATAATGTTCTAAGGCCTAAATAAATCAAAACAATTAACAATGATTAGCAATCACCATAATAATAGTAACAATAAATAAATGACCATACATACCTTTTGAAGTAATCCAGATTTTTCACATAATTGCGCAATTGTAGGTTTGTCATAATGAGTAAACATATTATTGCCAAGAATAGCATCTGCCACTTGAGGAGCATGCAATAAATTCATTTCAAGTAAACGTGTTTGAAGATGCCCATGTTCTGGTTTATTGTCTTTTAAAGCGTCAAGAAGAAATGATGTTGCTTGTTGAATCATATTTTGTGACATAAATACATCAACAATCTAAAATATAATTAATTAATTAATTAAATTATATCACGACATCTATATTTATAATATTAAATAAATTGTTTACATACTTTTTCAATATCAACCAAAGGTCCTCCTTCATCATTTGCCAATGCGGTAGCAAGTTCTGCACCTTTGTCAGGATTACTTCTCATGACTTTTTGTAAAAGGGAAGAATAATCTGGCTGGAATCCAACTTTTTTTGCGTAAACAGTTATTTTTGAAAATTCGCCTTTCTCAATAAAACATTCAATGACCTAATTTTATTGGGAATAAAAACAAAATAAGTTATTTTCAAATTAAAAATTATTTATTTTAAATGTATAAATGCATGTATTTTTTTTACCTTAATAGGAGCGTTGGCACGAAGATAAATAGATAGTGCCAATGTTAAATCAAATGGTCTCACATAATCACCAAGTTCTTCACTACAATGAATCTACAAATAAAATATAATTATTGATTTTAAAAATCCTAATTGAACCATAGATATAATTTATAAAAGTTCCAAATAATTGTGAATGGTTATCATTGTACCTTATCCTCTCTCAACCATTTCTCTAATAATTCTTTTTTGTTTTGAGTCATAACAGGTCGTGCCAACTCTAGTGATTCTTGTTTATTGAGATTGCCTTTCTCTAACAAAATAGTAAAATATTGTTCAAATGGTAATACATCGCCAGGAGGAACATTAACAATAACTTTTAGAAGATCAATTGTTCTTTGTGTACGAAGAAACCCCTAAATTTAATTTCAGGTCATGAATATATTAATTTTGTAAATTCCAAAAACACCTAGTTAATTGATTAATCATTTAATTTAAAAAAATTTTTAACTTACATTTGGCGAATTAGCAGCAAGTATTGCGGCTTCAGTGTAATCTCCTGCTGAATATAAATTAGTAAACTTTCGTAAAATTAAATCTTCAGCACCATTCAAATTGCACCTTGTAGCTATGCTGATAACTAAGTCAGGTTTATCTTTATATAGGTCTTTAATATAAGGGATAATTTTTGTTTCATCAACAGACACAGATAAAACCTATAAAGATTTTTTTTTATAAATTATATAAATTAATTATGATATAGCATAAAAAGTGTATGCATGAAACTTATATTTTATTATTGTTGTTAAAACCAAAACATACTTGGCCTTTCCTATTGACTCCAATAATACCATTGGTAGACTCGTGTTCCGCAGTGACAAAAATTGTTTCAGCACTTATTCTATTCATAAAAAGACGACTACCCGTTTCCAAATCATAAAGATGAATGTAACCTAATTTTGTGATTAAAAATATAATTCCATGTTTTTTACTGATTTGCATGGAAACAGGAAAATCATTGTCAGCCTCAGCAGGAAAATAAATATCAACAGATTTTCTTTGAAATACGGGATTTTCTTCTTTGTGATCAATTTCCGCTATATGTAACTATTTTTTTTTTAATTAAATTAGAATCAAGTTTAATTGATTATAAAAATTTGCAAACAATATATTTAAAGATTTAAAGAATAATGCTCTCTCTATATATGTTAATTACCTTTGCTCCTTGAGAACTACGAACAGAAAAGGTAAACAAACTTGTAGGCGATTTACCATTTGACAATTTCATAGATGTAAAAGCAGCTGCATGACCTTCAAAAGATTGACTAACTTGACGATCTCTAGAATATAATTGAATATAACCAACAACAGTCCCTTCCTATGTGGATTTAAAAATAAGTTTTTTTAATAAAAGACTAATAGTTAATTACTCACGTATATATATATATATATATGTGAACAAATATATATACTAACAACAGCTTTAATTCCAATCAGAACCATCCATTTTTCATCTGAATTTACACGATAATTGATAATTTGCGTATCATTAAGATTCACATGTCGATCGAAAACTTTAACTGGAGATGTGGAGGTGGAAGAATCGGCATCTTCTAATGTCCAATGATAAACTGATTTTGCCGTAACAAGCCCGATAGTTTTGTCATTAACCCATTTCCAAAAGGCAACATCTTCATCCATTACATGAGATTTTATTTTAGCCTTAGCCTCAAGATTAAATATTTGCAATGACCGTTGGGCTATTAAAAGGAAAAGTTAATTGATTACTTTGTTATATAAAATAACTATAATTAGACAATTGATTAATTGCCGACCTTTCAAAGCAAGGATTTTCGTTTTAGGATGCATTATAGCAGAGTCGGCAGCGATTGGTCTTCTCAAAATATTCTGGGTGTCGTTTAGATCAATAATTGCAACTTGGTTTTTAGCGCCAGTTGATTCACGTATAGTTATAAAACGATCAGACTCCATTGTTAACCAACTAAATGATATATTGGTTGGATTGACACCGAGTTCTTGAAGCTAATATGTAAAAATAATTTTAAAGTTACTGTCATCATCACACGTACCATTATTAAATTATTTATATATACCTGACAATGCTCTTGTAATAATATTGGAATCTCGTTTGCCATATTTTATTAATTTATTATTTCTAATATGATTTATAGTGTAAATAAAGTAGAATTTCTAAGAGTTAAAAAGGTGATTACGATGAAATTTTTCATTTATAAAAAAATTATGATCGGCGAAGTAAAAAGTTTGATGTCATTGGCTAAATTATTGAGAGTTAACAAGTAAAATCTTGTTACACTAAATCAGGAAGATTCTATTAGCCAATTGTGGCTTCGTAGAAAGTCTTCATTGCTGCTGCTGCCATCAGCCATATCCTGCCACAATTAAAATTGTAGCAGAGAGGCGAGTAAGTCCTCCTTATCAACGGATCAGGTCTCTCTCCATAGTGTGTGCAAAAAAATGATCCTTATATTACGGAAGCATTAACATCTCGATTCCATTGTGTCAGACAGACTAATTTGCAGATTCTGGCAGACCAGAATTTTTGATGCTTATCAAACCACCCATCGCACAAAGAACAGACTGAGGAGGTATAGAGCTCGTTGACGCTCACCACCTTGCAGTTTCTAGAAAACTCTCGGCGAAATTGTTTTACAGGCCCGCGTGATGTTGATGAGAATTTACCATCTCCAAATGCAACAACTGTATTGTCACCATTACCATTTGTTATTCTCTTGCACAGAATACCAAAGGCCTTCTGTTTATTAATAAAAGATTTCCATCACAAACGGCGCAGCGATGTTCACCATAAAAATAAAGGATTGTATCGAGGTAAAACAGAATGTAAGCCATATTCATAGACATTAGTGACAGCAGAAGTTGGAATTTCTAGGTTTTGTATTAGTATTAGGTGGGGGTATGTAAGTAATATTATTCAATGTTATTCTTATTTAATGGCAAATTAAATTAATAAAGTATAGCTCACCTCGAATAATGGCCTAAAGATTTTTTTTTTTCCAACCACAACTCACATTTTTTGCGAGCACGAACAAATCCTGAAAAGTTACAGTATTCCTTGTTGGAACAACTCACAACTTTTTCATCTGAACTCACTGTTACAAACAGATCTATCCTTTCATGATCCAGCCCAAATACTTTGCATCCATTCAAATCAATATTCGATCCTTCTTCTTTATTATCATCAATTTTCTTTTGCAGACCAACTGATGCTGAAAGAACATCAGTTTGTATGGAGTAAGCAAAGATTCGATTTTGAGCGGTGACTTTATAATATTAAATGCTTCCATCCACCAAGTTTTTCTTTCAGCTCTGAATCTTTGAATGATTGTTACTCGTATTTTTTTAATCGATTTGTGCATGTAACATAAAGCATCAGTATCAACCAATATGTACTTTGTTGGAAAGATTATTCAGGAAAAGTGTGAAGAGACGAAGGTCACATTCCCGGTTATGTTTGGTAAAAGTGGGGAGGATTTTGTAGAGACCTAGAAGATATGACCATCAAGATGCTTTTATAGATGCATCATCAAGAGCTGATTTTGGAATAATATCTGTTCCACTTTCAAGTGAATATATTGGATACGGGTGATAAGGCGAAGAAGATAATGTAGATATGATGTAGAGAGTTTACCAATAATCCTTGAAGGAAAGGAAGGGGATCTCGATTTTTCAAGTTGGTAATGAAATGGTTTATGATGGAGTCGATGTGTTTTTTGGGGAAAGAAAATTGATTGAATCTTGAATAATTTATATTTTATCCATCTTTTAAGTCAATTATTTGACATATTGCCATGCAGCAAAGGAGAGAAGTTGTCCTAATGATTTTTTATTTGTTAAACTCATTCCTCGAAGTCAACATTGTGCGTAGAAGGTATCTCGAATGTTATTTATGATGGGTTAATTGGTGGCATCAGGGGTATTTTGGTAGCTTGGAGACATTGCCGCGTATACTTGAAGGCACCGTCACTTGTGTTGAAAGGAAATTGATCACCAAGGACCATGTGATAAAGTGCTGTCTGGCTAGCCAATTGAGAATCTTCAAAACAATTCGAGTCGTTCTTTCAACAGCATTTTGAATTGCAGGTTCAAGATCTTTATCTATAAAAAATCCTTCTAGTCCAGTTTTGACTATGCATTATTTGTATTTTGTGTCTTTTTCCTGAACAGTTTACAATGACCGTTTGAAGAATGTGAATGATTAGTCCCCTTACAAATTAGACAAGGACATTCTAGATATTTAAAAAAAAATTTCTTTCTAAAAAAAAATAGAGGCTATTCAATAACTTGATAACATTGATTCACATACTTTGATTATTTGACAATACGCTTTTAAATAATCAAGATCATCAAGGTGTGGACTCCAATCAACAAATACAAATACTTTTGTTGCAAAGCATTCACTTTTTGTTTTAATAGGTTAAACTTATTTTGATGAGAACAAGGAATGGATTGATTTCAATATCTTAAAAATAAACAAATTGTGATGACATTGTTATTAAATGATATTTTTATTCATTATTAGAAAATACGTTTCAGTTCCCAAACCATGAGTTTTATTTGAGAGAGAGGTTTCCTAGTTTTGCTGAGAAGTCAACAAAAGTGTCAAAATCAGGATCTGTTTCATCAAACAGGTTCGTAGCTTTTGTCCTTCATGTTAGCTGTGATATCTATCTATCGAGGCTAATTTGCAATAATATAAATTACTAAAAGTCTTGGCAAATTTTCTCTTGCTCTTTAACAAGAGCAGATACAGTAACGAACTCTTCAATCAAGTTCTCTCGGAGCTAATAACAATTCAGTTAAAAAAGAATGGCTACTCACTATAACAAGTAACAAGATCAGCCTTTTCAATGTAGGAGTATTTTCTTGCCTTCCCTTATTCAATTTAGAATCACGAGAAGTAGAGAAATCAATTTCTGCTTTGCCTCAAAATCATTCAAGTAATCAGAAAAGATATGTTCTTTACCCACCTCCAAAAGAAGTATGGCTTTGAGTGCTCTATACAATCATCCTAATCAGCAATTTACATCTTTTTTGTTTGCCGACTTGGTTGATTAGACAGTGAAGACAGTTGAATTGATGTCGCTGTCATATTTTTTTTTTTGATTAAATTTATAAAGGATTAATAAATTGCGTCGTCCAAGCAATAATATTACCAAGACCATGTAAAAATGAAATGTTAAATAACCAATTTTGAAACAAAGTAATGAATGTATCGATTATCTTATCACAATTAATCCCTAAAAAAATAAATAAATAAATGAAAATTATTTCCAAGTTGCAAAATTACTTGATCATTCTCAAAAACAAATCTAATAGGTTGAGCAGATTTAGTAAAATTTTCCTACAACACATGGAAGGTTCACGAGACTTGTGCGGTCGTGACTAACTTGAGAACACAAGAAAAAAGGATTCCGAATGTAATTTCGATAAATACCATGCCCCTCCCCGAATTCCAATTGTAGAGAAACCTTTACTGCGTGGAAGATGAGAATAATTATAATTTGAACCCTGAAGGGTTTCCTGATTTTCCAAGAGCAATTTTTCCATCTTCGATAGTTGCTGCTTTACCTTTGACGTTTCATAAAGTATGATGACTATTGCTACAATATCATCATCAACAGCATTCACAATAATTTATGAAATTGTTGCAGAATGAATAAATGTCTTGGAGGAAATAAGAATGAAAAAACTCAGAACTGTCTCGTTAAATTAGCAGCAACACCAGCATTCCCAATTTTTTGGAGATAAATCCAAAATATTGAATCGTGTTGTAAATTTGCTTGAAATTGTGCTGACGGATGGAAAATGGAGTTTTATTATTAGACCATAACGAGTATATTCATGAATGGGAGAGCAGAGTAAACAAAGATATGAATAAAGTGTATGGGTATTTGGTAAACATATGAAAAAATTGTTTTTTCTTGTCATTATTATTATAGCCAAAGCTATAATTAAGAATAGTGTATGGAATTTAAAAGTGTTTAAATTGAACGCGTTAAAAAGTTTAAAGAAAGTTAGCACACAATTTAAATTAAACGCGTGAATAAATAGTTAAAATTATATACGTAGGTATAATAGAAAGTGAGCGAACATACATACGAATATAATACTTTATTTATGTATGATATAGTCGTCTATTACATACATAAGAGTTTATTGCTTGTTTGCTATATACTCTACATTAAAATTATTGGCAAGTAATGTTGTTTGACGAAATGTCACCAAAGTTGTAAAGTAAAATTGTTATAAAGGCTAATAAAATATAAAGCACAAATAAAATATGCATTCCAAAGTTTTTTTTTAATATTTTTCTTGTATCTTCTTTGCTTCATCGGCTATTCCAAAGGAGTTAAGTTCTTCTTTTGCTTCAGTTCCCACACACTCATTTACTACTAAATTCAACCATTTCTTATATTAATATTAATAACGTGATCCATGGTCTGGTAGATAAAATAATCAGTTAGTCAACTAATTTTAGTGCAGTAATTATCAAATGAAAATTTTATGAAAAGCCTTTTATAATATCAATATTGATTGATTAAGTTAGTTTGCAATAATAAACTCATCTTTATCTTTATCCTTATTGTAGTGATCTATGAAAATTACATTAAAGATAACTTCTGGAAAATAATAGATAGTTGACATTCTGATAAAATAAAACTCTGATAGAATCATTATTTTTATTAAACGTTAATGAGCCTTTAGAAATAAAATAAAAATAAAAATGTTGTTTATGTTTCAAGCACTTTGATAAAAGCAACAAGTGTAGTTCCTTGGTAAAAGATAACAATTACGGAGCTTTGGTAAAAAGTCATGTTTTATTTGGTTTGGTGAGCAAAGCAAGGTTAGGATTAACGTTGGTTAACTATAGTGAGTGTTAACAATGATTAATAACATGATTTGCTTTAGTGAGTAAGCAAATGTTAAGATTAATGTTTGTTAACTGGTGAGTGTTAATGAAGTATCATCCAAAGGTTAATCGGAAATACTGGTTGTAATCGTAAATGTAAGGCTGTTAAACAAGTTACTCAAGTTGTTTTGCAAGTAAACCAAAGCGAGTTTGCAAGCCAATAAAATAAATCGAAGCCCTTGAGCT